GAGAACCCTTACTTTTTGCTTATGCTGGATTATTTTAAATAGCTCTCCAATAAATCTCATCAAATAATTTACATATGGGGTCCATCATCAGGAGGACTAAGGCAAGTAGTGGAACAAAGATTGTTGGACTCAAGGATTGCCCAAATCCTAGATAGAGCTGGTGGGTAGAAGCCACAAATGTAATTATGAAACTGGTTTGTGTACAGGTACCAGAAATCCAAGAGTAGTAAATCAGAAACCACAAATTCTGTCAGGAGACATGAAACCTTAGCAGTAGAATGATTTAAAATAAAGCAACTCCTGATTTGATCATGAAGCTGGTTATGTGTTTCTTCCTGGGGCAGAAACCAACCCCAAAGTATGGTCAACCCAGGGCTTCATGGAGCAGCTGCTGAACCCCATTAAGAAGATGATAAGAAGGTTAGTTTGACTTAAACAGGCAGTGTGGAGGTGAATATAAAGGTAAATTGAGGCTGAATTCTAAGCCAATTTCATTAGTTTAAAAATAACTTTCTTAAATTGCTGTTCTAATTTAAAATTTTTTGGAGTAAAATTTGCATGAATTTGTTCACTTTATGCAAAACCAATTCATTCTCCTTCGTACAGCCCCCATGTTCAAGCAAGTGGAATCATCTCTTCGCTGTTTTCTAAATGCAGTAGGCACTCTGTTTTTCTTTGACCTTCTTACTCTTATTAAAATCCAGGTTTTATTTTTAATTGTGCTTCTCCTGAAATAAACAAATATTCTTGGACTTAAATCCCGAACAATTTCACTCTCACCATGACACACAAATTCACTGACACCCAAATTACTGAGATTAACTAAGAGCAGTTGAGTAAATATCACCATATTTTTTGTGGGGAATGAATTTATCTTCTCTAAAACGCGCAGATGGCTAATGCTTGAATATGGTTATGATTTCTGTGTTTGGAAAATTAAACAATATTACCTATGTGCATGCATATTAGGAGTACATTGCAGGAAAACGGTTGCAATATTACTAAAATGTCTAGACTTCCAAGGCAACTTTACTATTTCCTTCACTTTGACAACTCTTTTATTATTTGTAAATATTACTATACCTCCTGATTATCTACTTAAGTATAGTACATTCTCCTGTTACCCAGAGTTAAGCCAATGGAAATTAAGTAAACATATTAATGATACATTTTGAATTAAACATTGTTGAGAATATTGATTTCTAAAGCTGTAAAAAATAAAGAAAAGTGATTTACAGCCATGCTTCTTAGATATATTAAAGAACATCACATAATTCCAGGTAACATTGTTAAGAGAGTCCATTCTCAATGGGAATTAATATTGACTTATGAAAAGTAGGTGGTTTGGTTTCCACCTTAGCTTCTAAGACAGACAGTGTAATATTTATCCCTTCATTCATTAGATTTGTCTTTAAATTTTTCCCTATTCATGCATTTTAGAAATATATAATTAGCACCAAGTATGTGTCAGGATTCAGGGAGTATTCTCTGCATTAGGAATGTCTCAGTGTACAAAAGGCAAACTCTGCCTTCGTTGTGTTTATTTCCATCTAGGTGGATATGGACAATAAAAGGAAATCCTGGTGGCGTAGTAGTTAAGGGGCACAGCTGCTAACCAAAAGGTCAGCAGTTCGAATCCAACAGGCACTCCTTGGAAACCCTATTGGGCAGTTGGGCAGTTCTACTCTGTTCTAAAGGGCCGCTATGAGTCGGAATCAACTCAACAGCAACGGGTTTAGTTTTTTTTTTTTTTTTTTTTTTTTTTGGGATAATAAAAATATGAAGTCTTGGCAGACGGTGCTGTGGAGGGAAAGGAAGCAGAAGATGGGGCTAGGGAGAGCCAGAGTAGAAGTGGGCTGTTCTCTGGGTCGTAGGTTGTGATCTGGTGAAACCTCGTGAGAAGGGGACATTTGAGCAATGACTTCTCAAAATCAGTGCTTCTGGAACGTCACACTGTTAAAAATTATTGAAGAGCCCAGTGAACTTTTCTTTTTGTACCTATCAACATTTACCATATTATAAATTTAAACTGTAAAATGTGAATTCATTAATTCATTTAAAAAAACAATAATAAATTGACCACTTGTTAATCGAAATAAAAGATATTTACAAATAATAACTATTTTCTGAAACCAAAATTTTAGGAAGAGGAGTAATGTTGCTTTGGATCTTTGCAAATCTATTTAAATATCTGGCTTAGTAGAAGACAGCTGTGTTCTCATTTTTGCTTCTTCATTATATCTATTACTTTACATTATTTTCATTGAAGAAAATCTTGACTTAAACAGCTAGGTAGTTGGAAAAGTGAGACATGTTTTAATAGCCTTTTTAGGTAACTGTGGATTTTTTTGTCTTTTCTGATACCACCCTAAAACTCAACAAATGATAGTTTCTTAAGTGTCAGTTGCAATGTGTGTCTGTGGTTGCTCTGGACACTTTGAAGTCAGAATCAACTCCAGGGTAACTGATACTGGTGCTGATAAAGGAGACATAAGAGCTAGCCTTGGCATTATATAGGGGAAGAACATTCCAGAAGGAGAGAAAAACAAATGCAGAGAAAGGCCCTGAGCCAAGAGTGTGCTTTGTGTGTTGAAGGAACAGAAAGGAAGCTGGTGTGACTGAAGCAGAACAGGCAATGGCCAAGAAGAGCAGAAGACAAGTTGAAAAAGATCACAGTGAGGACGGAGGTGGCAGACAGGGATCGTATAGGGCCATGCAGGACTTTTACTTACACTGGAAATTCTCTGTGGGGTTCTGAGCAGAAGACTGACATGATTTGACAAATTGCAGAAGGCTTCCTTTGGTAACTGTGTGAAGAACAGAGGATGAGTATTTATTGGGATGGGTTGCATTCAAGTTAGAAGCAGAGAGAACAGTCGTAAAACTATTGCAAAAATCCAGGTAAGAGATAATGGAGACTTGGTCAAGGGTGATAGCAATGAAGAGAGTGAGAAGTGATAGAATTCTAGATATATTTTGAGGGTAGGGCAAATAGGATTTTTTTATAGATTGGATGTGGGGTATGAAATTTTGCATTATAAATGGGGCAACAGCAAGAGTTTCACCTGGAATATGTTAAATTTGAAAAACCTATTAGACGTCTAAGTAGAACCACCAAGAGGCACTTGGATATGTAGTTGGAGGTCAGGGTAAAGGTCTGAACTGGAGATAGAGCAAGGGCCTTCAAGACCTCATGAAGAGCTAGAGTTTAAAATAGCATTTAGTCGCTCTGGTCACATGAAGATTTCTAGAAGACACTAAGAGAACAGAGTCTTTGACCTAATATATTAATGACATAAAGTAAATTACTACCATCTACTGAACATCCAATGTATGCTGGTTCTATGCCAGTTCCTTATATCCATTATTTAATCCCTCCTCACCGCAACTCTGGGAATCCAACTCTAAAAAATCCTGACTTCACGTAAGGAAACCATTTTCAAGAAAACAATGTGATTTCTCTGGGGACACATAAGTAAGAATTGATAGAGCCAGGATGTGAATTAAAATTATATGTACATTTAAATGTGTGTAAATACTTGAATAGCTATTTATATGTAATATTTTTCCAGTTTCTCATATTAGTCTGGCTGCTAATAATCTAATAAATAATAATAATAAATATATATATATATATACACCAAAACCTGTTGCTGTTGAGTTGATTCTGACTCATAGCAACCCTACAGGGCAGGCTAGAACTGCCCCATAAGGTTTCTAAGGAGCAGCTGGTGGATTCGAACTGCCAATCTTTTGATTAGCAGCAGAACTCTTAGCCACTACACCACCAGGGCACTCTCTCTCTCTCTTTCTCTCTCTCTCTATATATATATATATAATTAGTTATGCTTCTCTGGGGAACCCTGACTAATACAACAAGAAACTGGAAAAATATTAAATATAAATACTATTCAGTAGATGAAAGTTATGTACAAATATTTTATTACAAACACATATGAGAGAATGATGTAAAGAGACCCAGAGAGATTTATCTTAAAGAATTGTCTAACGCTTTTGTCAGGACCGTCAAGTCCAAAATCTAAAGTCAGGTGATAGGCTGGAAACTGCAGCAGTACTGTGTCCAAAATCAGTAGGCCAGGTGGTGGGCTGGAAATTCCAGCAGGATTCCTATGTGACAGTCTTGAGGCAGAATTCATCTCTCTTAGGAAACCTCAGATTTTGCTCTTAAGGTATTCAACTGATTGAATGAGGCCCACCCACATTATTATAATCTGCTTTACTTCATGCGGTGCTCTGGTGGTGCAGCGGTTAAGAGCTTGGCTGCTAACCAAAAGGTTGGCAGTTTGAATCTACCAGCCCCTCCTTGGAAACCCTATGGTGCAGTTCTACTCGGTCCTATAGGGTCACTACGATTCGGAATCAACTCAACAGCAGTGGGTTTGGTTTTGGGGTTACTTCATGTCAATAGATTTAGATATGAATTACAAGTAAATACCTTCATAGCAACACCTAGATTAGTGTTTGTTCAAACAACTAGGCACCATAGCCTAGCCAAGTTGACACATGAAATTAACCGTCACCCTAGGGAATGATACACAGAAAACTTCTTGGTTCTGCTGTTGGTCTATTTCTTGAGTTCCTAAATAGCAACATGAATTAATTAATATTGAACATAATGGGTGTCTAATTCAACATTAAATAACTTCTGAACCAAAGATTAATGTTATTTTTGTCAAAGGAATTAGAGGTAGTGCTGACAATCTTCGATTACCTTAACTCTGCTCTTATCTCCAGGGAGAACCTTGTGAGCATTGAAATAAACTACAGTGACTTAAACTATATGATAACACAGCAGCAAAAAGCCGTGAGCGTGTCTGAGTTGCTTGGTAAGTGTTATTTAGTTGCTCTTCAATTTTCCTTTCTATTAGACTTTTTTTCTACAGACTTCCCCCTCAGCAAGTGATTACTGTAATGTGTTTCAGTAATTCTACCTTTGTGTAGGTTGTCAGCCACCTCTTACCTCCACACAAGGCTGAAAGTTAGAATCTGGACAGGCCAAGCTGGACGTTTAGGAAACAGCCACTGTCTTCTCATTCCCCTTTTTATTTAGTCCTTAACAAACGTAATGTCTGATTTGCTAGATCTCACTGCGTATTAGAGGAAGCCAGATAAGAGACAGAAGATTGAGGCAGGCCAAATGACCTCAGTCAGACATGGCAGTTGAGGCCCTGAATAGGGAGGAAGTATACAGATTCCCTAAAGCTTTTGGAAAAGCCAATGCTTAATTACCAAGCAACCAGAAGCAGAATGATCCTAAGACTGTCCCGAGGCATTGATAAAAAGATTAATAACATAATTTATTTAAGAAGGCAGTTCTGTGTTAAGGCATTTTAGCAAACTGAAATATTGCACATGCTTAAAAAGAAACTTTGGATACTTGAAATCACAAATTGCTTGAAAATTTATGTTGCTGAGAAGCATCATCATCCAATAACGTCACCTGAATGACACATTGTGCTCTTTGTTCAGCATATGAACCTGAATTTGTAATTCTCTAAAATCTTTCAAGATTTTGCCTAGACTTCGTGTCATTCAAAGACTTCGTGTTATTTTTTGGGAAGCAGATTTTATGTTTGTATAATGATTATATTAAGATATTGTTAATTACTGTTACTTTGTAATAAATACAACACATGGGGTCACCATGAGTCAGAGTCGACTTGATGGCAATTGGTTTTGTTTTTAGGCTTTATAATAAGTTTTAAAATAATATAATTAACTCATCTTCATATAATACAGTTATGATTAACTTATTAGTTTCAAATAATTTAAGTTCTAATAATGTTTAATTTGCTTATTGTAAGGAAACAGTGATTTATTCAATTTTTTTGCTGGTTTTATTACAGCAGATATTGGCGGTCAGCTGGGTCTATTTTGTGGGGCCAGTATGATTACAGTTATAGAAATTATTGAATATATATTCACCAATTTGTACTGGATATGCATTTTGTTTTTGCTGAAGATACCTAAAATGACCCAGTGGACGCCTCAACCTCAGAATCAGCTGGGGAATAAAGAAGGAATTCAAGAATGCTAATGTACACTTAGGATAAAAACTTGCTTTTGTCTTCACAATACTTTCAGATTTATTCATAACTAATTCATTGTTATGTAATATTATGTTGTATTATCTGGTGGTTCAATAAAAGCCATTGTACTTATCTGTATATCCATATATGTGGATATGGGTATCTATATGTATGTATGTATGTGTATTCAATTATATTAAAAAAAAAGAGATAGGCACAAAAAAGAATGCAAAAAGAGGTAGGTATTTCATAAAAAAAATTTTTAATGGATAAATTTTGTGTAATGGAAAAAGGCATTCTTTATGATCAAAATGTAAATTAGACCTGGTAAGTCTAATTTACATACATAAGGAGACAGGACGCTTCTTTATTCAAGAAATAATATGTATAACTTGTGTTTTACTAAATTTCTGGGAATTTTCATTTTCACTAATATTCAACATATTTTTTTCCTTTTATCTAGAGAGTTCTAATATGCAACTGACTTTCAGAAGGGCAGAAGTCTATATCTAGTTCCTATGTAGGTGGATACTTAAATCTATTTGAAACTATGGTTAAATCTGTAGTCTACTGTGAGTACACAGTGTTTTATCATTTTACCAACTACTTCTGTTTAATAGAGAGAGGAGATTCAAGGGTTGCAGTGTCCTCATTATTGTTGTTAGCTGTCATCAAACTGGGCCCTGTGTCATGGCAACCCCATGCACAATGGGACCATTCTGACATGTAGGGGTTTCATTAGATGATTTTTCAGAAGTAGATCACCAGGTCTTTCTTCCTCGTTTATCTTAGTCTGGAAGCTCTCCTAAAAACTGTTCAGCATCCCAGCAACATGCAAGCCTCCACTGACAGACAGGTGGTGGCTACACTTGAGGTACATTGCCCAGGAATCAAACCCAGGACTCTACCACTGAACCACCGCTGCCCCCAATGTCCTCATTACCCCTCAGGAAATCAGCCTACTTTCAGCCTCTTAGAACGATTCAATCAGTGGTGAATTTTCAGCAGCCTCCCTAAAGCAGATTTAAGAAATAATCAAGTCAAAGCATTCTAAACCAAAACTCCTTCTGCCTCATATTGCTGGGCCCCATTTCATTCCTGGACACATGAAGATAACACCTGAAAATCTTAAAATTTTATGTTGAGGCTTAATTATAAGCAAGTGTGCATGGGAATGGGCCAGTGCAATCTGTGTCAGTACTTAAATTAGGAATATGTGTATGTCATGACTCAGAAATCCCAGTCATGAGTAAGTACCCAAGAGAAATTGTCCCACAGCCATGTGGCAAATGAGGATGTTCATTCTGTCATTGTGTATGTAGCAGGAGTTGGAGGCAATCTATGCATCCAATACTGGGGAAAAAAGTAAATAGTATAAATGCACTCTGTGGAAGACTGTGATGGTCAAGGTTGTGTGTCAACCTGGTTGGGCCATGATTATCAATAGTTTGACAGTTATGATGTAGTTTGGCAGTTATGTAATGATGTAATCACCTCCATGATAAGATCTGATATAATCACCTCCATGATGAGATCTGCTCTGAGCAGTGAATCAATTGAAAGAGTTTCTTTGGGGGTGTGGCCTGCATCCAATATACATGGACATTTTTGCAAAGCTCACTGGCTTTTGTTCTCTCTGGATCCTGCATCCAGCTCATCATCATCTGACCTCCAGTTCTTGGAACTTGAGCCAGCAGCCTGCCATCTGACTTGCTGATTTTGGGTTTGTCAGCCCCTGTAGATATGTGAGTCAGGAGAATCCTCCAGCCTGACAGCTGACCAATAGACTTGGGACTTGCCAGCCTCTGCAACCATGTGAGCCATTGCCTTGATATAAATCTCTCTCTCTCTCTGTCTCTCTCTCTGTCTCTCTCTCTCTCTCTCTATATATATATATATACATATACACTTCACTGGTTTTGCTTCTTATAGAACCCAGCTTAAGACATGAAGACCAAACAGCAGAAATAAGCCTTGGATTCAATGTACCCACAACAATACTGACACCTGTTGTTCCCATTACTGTCTAGTCAATTCCAACTCACAGCAGCCCTTTAAGACAGAGTAGAACTGCCTCATAGGGTTTCCAAGGCTGTAATCTTTAAGGAAGCAGACTGCCACATCTTTCTCCTACAGAGCCACTGGGGGTTTCAAACTGTCAACCTTTTGGTTAGCCAGCAGGGCTCCTTACAATATTGATAGGTCTTAAAGTAGAGTGCTGAGTGGAAAAAAAATAGTAAAAACACAATAAGTCTATAGTACACTACAATACTGTTTACGTAAATTAAATATGCATGCACACAGAATAAGAACATGTGTCATAAAAGAATATGTACCACCAAAAAATTAGATAATTTAGAGGAAAAAGACAAATTTCTTGAAACACATAAACTCCCTATGTTGACTCAAGGAGAAATAATAGATATCAATAGACCCATAAAAAGCGAAGTGATTGAATCTGTAATCAAAAACCTCCAAAGAAAAATCTTGACCACACGGCTTCACTGGGGAGTTCTACCAAATATTTATAGAATAAGTGGCTATGATACTGCTTAAAATTTTCCAAAAAATTATAGAGAAGGGAACGCTTCCTAACTCATTCTATGAGGCAGGCATTACCCTGGTACCAAAGTCAGACAAAGACACCACAAGAAAAGAAAACAACAGGCCAATATCTCTAGTCAATATAAATGCAAAATTATCAACAAGTTACTAGCAAACCAAATCCAAAAATAGATTAGAAAGATCATACACCATGATTAAGTGGGATTTATCCCAGGAATGCAAGGGTGGTTCAACTTGAGAAAATCAATCAATGTAATACACCACATTAATAGAACAAAGGGAAAGAACCACATGATCATCTCAACTGATCAAGAAAAGGCATTTGAAAAAATGCACACTTTCATGATAAAACTACTCAGCAAGATATAAATAGAAGGAAAATTCTTCAGTATAATAAGGTACTTATGAAAAACCCACAGTTAACATCATACTCAATGGAGACAGACTAAGAGCTTTCCCATTAAGATCAGGAACGAGGTAGGGATGCCCACTCTCACGACTTCTATTCAACATCATTTTGGAAGTCCCAGCCAGAATAATTAGGCTTATACAATTGTTGCTGTTGAGTCGATTCTGACTCATAGCGACCCTATAGGACAAAGTAGAACTGCCCCATAGGGTTTTCAAGCAGCAGCTGGTGGATTTGAACTGCCAACCTTTTGGTTAGCAGTCGAAATCTTAACCACTGTGCCATCAGATCTCCATATATACATCCAAATCAAGAAGTAGGAAATAAAACTTATCTCTTTTATCTCTTTTCGCAGATAATATAAATCTATGTATAGAAAAACCCACAGAATCCACAAAAAGGTATTAGAACTAAAAATAAATTCAGCAAAGTGGCAGAGTACGAGGTCAACACACAAAAATCAATCAGGTTTCTGTACAGCAGCAATGAGCAAACTGAAAAAGAAATTAGGGAGACATTACGATTTACACTAACATCTAAAAGAAAAAAATACCTAGGAATAAATTTAACCTGGAAGGTGAGAGACTTGTACACAGAAAACTGTAAAATATTGCTAAAAGAAATCAAAGAAGACCTAATAAATGGAAAGACATTCCATATTTATGCATTGCAAAAGCTTAATATAGTTAAGATGTCCATACTACCCAAAGCAACCTATAAATTCAATGCAATTCCCATCAAAATTCTAACAAACTTCTTTACAGACATGGAAAAGCCAATCCTTAAATTTATGGAAGGGTAAAGGACTCTGAATAGCTAAAGCAATCTTGAAGAAGAAGAATAAAGTAGGATGACTCACACTTCTTGATTTCAAAACACATTATAAAGCCACAGTAATTACGACAGCCTGCCACTGGTGTAGTAATAGACATACAGACCAATAGAATAGAATTGAGATTCCAGAAATAAATCCATACATCTATGGTCAACTCATTTTCAACGAAGGTACCAAGTCCATTCAGTGGAGTTAGGAAAAGTCTCTTCAATATATTGTGCTAGGTGTACGTTTTGCTGGGTATATTTTCACCACAATAAAAAGGAAAAGAACGTATACCAAATATATATATATAACAAACACATTACAAAGATTGCCAGTGATGAAAAGGGGAATGGGAAATGGGATATTAGGGAGTAAATAAATAAACAAGAAAAAATAAAAGACTAACAATGATGGTGCAATGTGAAAGATTAACTCATTTCTCTTCCCTATGACTCAACAATCAACAATAAACTAGAACATGGGGTTGCATGTCCTGTTTCTCCTGACAGTTTGAGAAGAGTGATCTGTTGTGCTGACATGAGTGGGACTGATTCTTGGACTTAGTGCAAGATAGTTTCTTACTTCCTGCATCACAGTTCCTCTCTCCTCTACTTATCCAAATATCCTAAGTTAAACCAAGGAGATGCTGTTCTTTCTCTCTTTGAAATATGTTGACAGATCTTGAAACATTTTGTGTTTGGGATGATTCATGAAAGAGGGATTCCATAATTGTATTGCATGTCTGACATGAAATGGGTCAAGAGGAAGAATATCATGGGAATGACTCTCCTATGTTTTTGGACTTGATGAAGCTTGCATTATAAGAAATTTTAAATATTTCATAACTCTCACTAGTTTATCTTCCAATATTCCTATGCTGTGAAAATGAAGAAAAAAACAAAAACATATTTTGTTTGAATGAGATTAAAGGGGGATTGTTGACATGGAAAAAAATAACTAGCTAAGAAATTAAAGAAATTAAATTCTTAGAATTTAAGCCTCTCTTCCCTTAATGCAGACATAAGACCATAGACTTTAGACCCGAGACCGCTAATGCAGCTAGTCAAGTGAAGTGGACATTTCAATGTGGTATAAGAAGTGGTATTGACTTTCAGGTGCCCGAATCAAAAAATGGGCATTGAAGATCTAATGAGAATTTGATGCTGAATGGTTGTCACCCTACCCTTGACTTAAAGTAGCAAAAGCTCTGAAGC